AAAGATAGGGGTCGAGGACCCTTTCCATTCAATCATCATCAATTTTATCAAAATAATTTTAATTAGTGGCAGTAGTTTCCCAATGGAGGTCATGGCAATAAAAGTCCTAATATTGTTTGTCAAATTTGCAATAAAAATGGTCATGGTGCATTGCAATGTCGGAAATCCAGGTATGCATTTGTTTTCCAAAATGATAATTCATCTAATGATCCTTCAACATTCTATGGAGATTTGTAGACTCCTCAGTACCAATTCGTTAATCCCCATAATGGGAGCTCGACGTTTGACCCAAGTTGGTATTCGGATTCGGGTGCTACTCACCATATAACTCCAAACATTGAAAAGTTACAAAATCAGTCAGAGTATGTGGGTTTTGATCAAGATAAAGTTGGTAATGGGCAAGGTTTGCGCATACTTCACACTGGGAATTCTTCTCTACAATTCAATCAGTTTACTTTCAGTTTAAATGATATTTGTCATGTTCCTGCTATCTGCAAAAATTTTCTTTATGTTAGTCGTTTCACTAGAGATAATGATGTGTATTTTGAATTCCATAGTGATTGTTGTTTTGTGAAGGATTATACGGGGAAAAATATTCTGTGAGGGGTCAATAGAGATGGTCTATACTGCTTCTCGTCTTCCACCACTATCTCCACAAGATTTGATTGGAGAGTGAACCACAGTTCAAGGTTGACATTTATGGTTAGGACATGCAGATGTTTGGGTCGTGCGATATGTTATTTCTCAGTTTGGTCTTCCTTACAATTCAGATAGGTCATTGAGCTCAGTTTGTGAATCTTGTCAAACGGGTATGAGTCATAGGTTATCTTTGCAGTCTTCTTCTTTTCAGTCTAGGAGTCCTTTAGAATTGATTTTTTTTAGATGTATGGGGATCGGCCCTAATTAAATCAAATAGTGGACATTGCTATTATGTTTTATTTTTTGATGATTATACAAAACTTTCGTGAATTTATCCTATGAGTCAAAAATCATAAGTGTTTGATATTTTTCTAAAATTTAAGCGGCATGTGGAAGTGTTATTCAATGCCAAAATTTGATCTTTTCAATCTGAATGGGGAGAAGAATATCACAAATTATCCACATATTTGGACTCGTAAGGTATCACTCATCGCGTCACCTGTCCTCATACTCATGAACATAACGGAATGGTTGAACGGAAGCACCGACACATCATCTAATTGACCCTCTTTCTATTGGCCTTCTCGAATCTCCCGTCTTCCTTCTGGGCATAGATGCAATAGAAATTGTAGTCTTTCTAATTAATAGACTTCCTACTGCTTCTTTTCATGGTCGATCTCCATATGAGGTCCTCTTTCAATGATCATACGATTAGTCTATGCTAAAATGTTCCAAATGTGCTTGCTATCACTTTCTCCAGCCATACAATAACCACAAGCTTATGTTTCGATCACTTCAATGTCTATTTCTTGGGTACAGTCACACTCATAAGGGGTATCACCATTTTCATGTGGCTTCTAGAAAATTATTTATTGCAAGACATGTTGTTTTAGATGAATCTTTATTTCCAGGTATTTTTGCATCGTATTCATCCCCAGAGGTCTCTTCCACTACTAGGACTTTTATTTCTATACCACCCTGGCATTCTGATTCCACAAATATTTCTCCCTCACCAGCAGCCATCGGTCTATCAAGTCCTATACATACTACACATTCCAATTCCTCTCTAGCTCCTTCCGGCATGGCCAAATCTCTCCGGTTCAGCAATCTATTACTTCTGTAACTACTCTAGTTTGATTTTTCAACATTCAGGATATTCTTGATAATGCACCGGTGGTTCAAGCTCCGACTCGTTCCCATTCTATGATTAAACGTTGCATGATGGCACATTACCGGTTCATTCTCATCAAGTTTCAAGGTACCCTCTCCCCAACTCCATTATCTCTTTTCTTACTTCCTGAGAGGCAAAACCTCATTCTCACACTAAGGGCATGAAATCTCCTCATTGGCGTGATGCTATGTAGAAAGAATATAATGCTCTAATTAGTAACGGGACTTGGGAACTTGTTCCTTACAATTCTAGTATAATGTGGTCAGCACTAAGTGGTTATTTAAAACAAAGAGACATTCAAATGGTACCCTCAACTACTACAAAACCCGCCTTGTGGCACAAGGCTTTAATTAGATCCTAGGTCTTGATTTTTTTGACATGTTTAGTCCGATCGTCAAACCATTAACTATTCATACCATACTTGCCCTTGCTCTCTCTCACAACTGGTTGGTTCGCTAATTGGATATCAATAACGCTTTTTTACATGGCCTTCTGGATGAGGACATCTATGTTCAATAACCCAAAGGGTTTGAAGATCCTTCTTGCCCTAATCATGTCTACAAACTTCGCAAGGCTCTGTATGGTCTCAAGCAGGCTCCCAAAGCTTGGTATTCTTGCCTCAGTAGTACTCTTTTGCATATGGGTTTTCCGAATTCTATTGATGATCCTTCTCTATTTATTTTTTTATTGTGGTGGCACTAAATTACTTATTCTCATTTACATTGATGACATTATTCTCACCAGGAACTCATCCACTGTGATATCACTTTTTGGCCTCTTTATCTAGTATTTTTCCATTGAAAGATTTGGGTACCTTACATTGTTTTCTTAGCATTGAGACTCGGTACAATTCTTTTGGTTTACATTTATCCCAATGAAAGTACATTGCTGAATTACTTCATCGCACTCATCTTGATGGCATCAAACTCGCTCCACTCCTATGGCCACTTCAATGAAACTATCAAAGTCCCTCTGGCATGCCTTTCTCTAATCCTATAGAATATCGGAGTGTGGCTGGTGCTCTCCAATATGTCACTTTGACAAGGCCGAACATCTCCTTTGTTGTAAACAAGGTATGCCAGTTCCTCAATTGTCCAACTGATGAACACCGGAGTGGATGAAATGGGTCCTTCAGTATCTCAAAGCCACCATTGAATTCAGTCTTCAGTTTCAACCATCTCCTGATATTGTTCTCACTAGCTATTCTGATATCAATTGGCCAACCTACCCTGATGATCAGCGTTCTATTAGGGGGTATTCGGTTTATAATCTCATTTCATGGAGCTCCAAGAAGCAAGCTACCATTTCCCGTTCAAGTACGGAATTTGAATTTCATGCTCTAGCTAACTCCATCATTGATGTGTTATTTTGATCTCTCCTTGTTGATTTGGGCTATTGTATATCAACTCCTATTGCTTGGTGTGATAACATTGGAGCTACCTATTTGGATGCTATTTTTCATGCTTACACTAAACACATAGAAGTCAATTATCATTTTCTTTGGGACTTGTCCACCAAGAAGCAACTTCAAATTCGATACATTCCTTCTTCTGGTCAAGTTGTTGATGTGTTCACAAAGCCACTATCATTTTCTCAGTTTGAGTTGCTTCGGTCCAAACTTCACATTGCCCCATTCAGCTTAAGGGGGCGTATTAGATCAAGATTAGGATAATCCTAAGATAACCTCTATTAGGATTAGGATAAGACTAGGATAATCACTCTCCTTAGAGTCCTTATTTATCCTACTTGTTGTTATATTTCACTTATCCTGTATAGTCATAATTGTAATCAAACTCTAACTCTAGTCAATATAAATACATACCTAGGATCAGTCGAAAGACACATTGAATCCTAGAGTTTCTCTTCTATTTATTATCTTCTTCTTTCTATATTTTATTGTGTTTTAACTTTGTGTCACTATTATGGATCTCACCAAAAATGAATAAGGCTTTTATGTCATTAGAAGCAAAGCCAGGAAAAATAGCTTGCAATTCCACTCATCAGTTAAAGATCAACAAGGTGCAGACATAACAAGTTTCCTTATTGTTGTTGAAATCAAGCCTGAACAAATACAAATGGTAGAGCAAGCAAAAAAGTGAAAAAAAAAAAACTACAATATGTGAACATTAATTGTTTTGACTGCCATGCTAGGGAAGTCCAAAATAAAATCTCTTGTCATCATGAATCGATTGTTAGAATGATGGTGGAAAGAACAATCACTAGCTCTATGGTTGCAGGTGGTTTGGTAGAACTCATTTACAATTGTTGTATTTTAATCCCATTTGAGATTAAATCCAATGGGGTTTGATTAATCAATTACATGAAAAACACACGTGAACACATGTCCCATATTGGAAAATTACAAAACTTGTTTTGAAATTTTAAATAGGAGCTTATTTACACTCCATAGAAATAAAGAGGAGAGTATGGAGGCTACCGCGCAATGCGCACGCACGCATGTGTGCAGTACAATGAGGCGCACTTTGCTTGCGAGGTTGACTGTTGATATTTCAACGATTATGATTCAATCAGGTGTGATCAAGAAGCACTATTTACTGTCTCACATAAGGTTTCTCCGGAGAATCTTCAACTTTATTGGTTACAAATTCTTGCCCAAGGAGACAGTATCTTCAGACACGCCTCAAAACTTCTCCTCCAAGTTTAAATAATCCCAATTTCCGAACAATTTTTTTTTATAAGAAAATAATAAAATAATAGAGGTTCTTCCGCAAGGCCTGGTGATTATATTTTTGGAAAGATGGCCTTGTTTGCTGGAAGTATACATAAGCACGCTTATCCCAATATCAAGCGTTTTTAAACAAAACTATCTTATATAAAGTAGGGGAAGTATACAATTTTCCCATGTTTCAGATACAAAGATCAACCCTAACTTCGCCAAAATTATCGATCGAGAACAATCTGCTGGCCGATATGCTGTCAAATAGCAGTGTTAAGAAGATTAGTTTGAATAATTTTAGAGTAGCCACTTGGATATATATAATCACCTATATATATCCAATCCACACCTCCCAATGCTCCATTAATTAATTAATAAAGCAATTAATTAACTATATACTAAATGTATTGTCTAGTAGTCCATACAATTTATCCCAGCTCGTACAGAATTTCTATTGAATGGTAAAAGATGCACTCCGACCGACTGTGAGAGTGAATAGCTAGCTGAAGTTCATCATAAACGTTGTATTATTTGCGCCAGAGATGTGTAAGTGCCAACAACCACAACTGAAATTCCAAACAACAGAATCCCCATGATAATCACTGGTTCATAGCCCAATCCCTGATTATTGCCAAAAATCTTCAAGTAACAGATGCACGGTAGTAGCATAGAAGCTATGGCACTTAGAAAAGCTCCGACTAATGCCATCAAATAGCCGAAAAAGGGAAAGACCAAGGCCACAATGACTGTGCTAATCAACAGAGTGGTCCTTATCAGGAGTCTAATGGGCCCTTTGTTGTATCGACGTGGCAAACCATTCTCAAAAGCAGCACGTATTGGTGTAATCATCAATGCGTATTTGGTTATTGGATTGATCAGAGTAGTGCATATTGCTATCCTGGAGCTAAGTTTTTCAATGGGAAGGTTTAGTGTTACCTGAGATTTTACACTTGAGCCGAACATGAGATACCCCATCACTGCCATTGATGCATAACCAATGGTAGAGATTACAAAGCAAAGCAGCAGCACCTGAGAAAACTGATGTTTGTGTTTCATGGAAGTATAGAGGGTAGGAAAGACTGGATGGGCACAGTAGCAAAAGGTGTATAAACTAACAGTGGTTGGTAATCCGGCCAAACTTACAAGTACTCCCCTTCTATGGAATCCAACTCCGTCTACTGCACCAGCCCAGGCAGTAGAGCCAATTACAATAAAAGAAGCTAAGACACCACTGACAGAGATATAGGAAACAATGCTCAAGTCATCTAACCATACAGATGGCAATATTATAAGAGCAATGATCACAACAAAACTTTGCTTGCTTCCTCCAATTTTCAGCCCTGCAACTTCTAAGACGACCATGTCCGGTAACAGATTGTGCAAGTTGTCCCCTTCCGATATCAAGAATCCTGTGGCAACTAAATACAGCTCTAAATGCAATAAAATTGATACCGCCATTCTTCCCTTGTACCCAAATGCATGCTCAGCAATGTCAGGATAAGTTTTGATACTTGAATTTAGATCCATACATCTTCGAATTAGCAACCCCGTGTACCAAGTTACAACAGAAATAATGAAAAGAAGTATCAAGCTCAACCATCCTCCCTTTGATAGTGCGTATGGAACTGATACTAACCCTACTCCTGAGAAACCAAATAGCATGATGAATGATAATTATTTTCTGCCCATAAAAAAAAAAGAAAAGAAAACGTAGATAACTATTAATTTCCCTGAAATCAGCTACTAATTGATAACAAAGCAAGGACTACTTTTAAAAGGGAAGGCATAGGACTATTTTTAAAACAAAAGAAAGAGTACTGAGAGGGGCCACTACTGTACAAATGAGTACCATGGATTCCCGGCTACATTATGGTTAAAATAGAATGTGAGCTTTTGCAAATAGATCTTGTAATACCAAAGACTGTTTGGTTAAAATATTTTACGTAGATCTCATAAAATATCATAAAAGCTAGAAGACTATCTGGTAATGTGAATGTCTTGTGTGTAGGCCAACATTTCATTTAACACGTGTGACCCACATACATTTTCTAAGGTGAGACCTACATACCATTGGTGGACATATATGTGGGGTCTACGTATATTTTACAAGGTGGGCTCGACATACCATGTACGGACATGTATGTGGGGCCCACATACATTTTACAAGGTGGGTTTCACATAATACCTAATGTGGGCCCCACATTAGGTATTTTCTAAGGTGGGCCCCACTTACACATTCAAATAGTTTTTGTGGAAAGATAACCTATTTTCTCCCAAGTGTGTATCGTACCACACCTTTAATGAAGACAGGGTGCTAAAAGAGCCCAAATTCAGGCTTCTGGCATCTTTTATGGGCTGGAGCCTTTCCCGAATAGATCTTTCTATTGCCAAATGGAAAATGCCCAAAATTCAGGCTTTTGGGCTTCAAAACAGCCTGAAGCCTACACGGAAAGACTTGCCAAATGCGGTTATAGAGTTAAAATCTCAAAGCTTCGCTTTTTCCTAGGTAAATGCACTTACCGAGGTTAGTGCTTTAGAGGAAAGACTTATTGGGATAAGTGCATTTATTCATGTTCTTTTATTTCCCATGTAAACAAGGTAATGACCATTTAAATCATAAAAATCCAATATTAAAATGGACATTTTTGTCTCATTCAAGTATTTGCAAATTTTTCCCTACGTGGGAAAGTTATTTACCCACTTAGAAGACGGTGGGTAAGTGATACTTAAGAAAATAAACTTTTCCTGATCCCTACATAAATATAAAAAAAGAACATGGGATTGATCAATGGAAATCAAAATCACATTAACCACCTTTTTCTCTCTCAAAATCCAAAAAAATAACATCCCCCAAGAGCTTCATGTTGGCCCCCCAACAGATAATGAACAGAATGAGAGGAAGCAATCATATTGGAAGCTTAATGAGCGAATTACAAATCTAATTACAAGGTAATGGACACCACTAAAGGTGGAATCCACTCTTGCATGATATGGTACTATAGGCATAGATAAATTATATGTATTTGGATTAATTGGTTAATATGAGGAAATAGGAAGGATTACACCCTAAGCTTGGGTGAACTTTTTCCTGTACGTACAATGCAAACCATTTCAAAGCCAAATATGCGTTAGAGTAACAATAACTGTGCAAGAAGAAGAACCTGACAAAGCGTTGAGCCCATTGAAGCAAGCCTTAAAGAAGCCAGTGGTGCCAATGCTTTTGTGGTGATGGCTAGCGTAGATCTCTTCATCAGCTTCCTGCTTAGCCTTGATCACCTCGTTCTCTTGATGTTTCTTGTCAGGCAGGAGCAGTTTAACAAGAGAGAACCCATCACAGGGCTCAACTTCCATCTTATGAGTTATGAGAGAGAGAGAGGATTCAAATTTCAAAATGTATATACGAATATATATAAGAATATGAAAGGGGATTGAGAAGAGGTAGTGGTTTTTAGGATGAGCTAAGCCTGTTGATGGCTTTTGGTCTCCGTCTAGTGGCGTGTTGCATGGATGTGGGAGTTCTCATTAGATATCAAAGGCAACGATTAGAAGGTAGAGGATGTGGAACGTTAGGGACCAAATTCCAAAACGAACCGACCTCCCTTGCTAATTGCCATACATCCAGCCTCCACAGTGCACACTCCATGTTGCAGTAGTTGATCTCATCACTTAATACACCCCATAACTCGGAATCTGGTAAAAAACCGTCGAAAAAGTTAATAAAAAGTTGATTTGGGCGGTTGAACCGTTGAACCGTCAATCTGTTCAATAATTTTTGACCGTTTTTTTTTTTAATTAATTTTTTTTATTTTTTAAATTTTTTTGTTAGAACGAACCATCCGTTCGAATCGGACGGTCAGACCGTTAACCCAAAAACCGGTGATCAAAACGATTCCGTTTTTGGGTCATTTTTTAAAACATTGTATTTAAGTTTAAGAATAATTAAATAATTTACAATTTTTTTCCTTATTTTGGATATAAAAAAGCATGCAAATAGAACCCAAAAATCCAAAAAATAAACAATGATATTTGGGTTCATTTTTCAGTAACAGAGGTCATATGTGGATGGATCTAATTCAAATAAACGCGATTGGCTGCCCTAGTTGAAATTTTGAAATGGAATTCTCATTTCAAATTAGTAAGGTTTGGTACAAGAGGTTTTTCCTTTTCTTATTTTGAAAACTAAAAGAGCAAATTACATCCATCAATCAACCAAATACGTTCTCTCCCCGTAAATGATGCGTTCAAAAAAAGGAGGAGAGATAAACCACGTAAAAACATTTATTGACATAAACGCAGGCTTCACAACTGGTACACGAAATCCTGCAATTGGTAGCAACGTGCAGGATAATTGTTTCCATGCCTCCGATAAGAGTTAATAATAATCTGCTGCGAGTCATCCTCAACTCTTTTCCGAAAGACGAATACCTGCTTTGAAAGTTTCAGTCTCGATCTGAGTGACTGACATATAGGATCCGATCTCACAATTCTTTCCATGCCAGCATAATTGGTTTCCATCAGTTGCTATCTGATAGATCTTAGACATGGACCTTATTTGTGGCAGACCAAGAGCGATGCATCTTCTTCAACCATGTTCCCCACGTTCTTCTGTTGACGATTTCTCTTTCTCTCTTGCCATTTAATGAATGACAAGACAAACTTCTTGTTTTAAACAAAGATGAGTTTGTTGGGTAAACCCATAAAACTTGCAAGAGAATGGGGATGTCAATGAGTTGGGATTTTAAATGGTAAACCTACCTTGACAAATCCTATTGGATTAGATTTGGGACAACCTTGCTCAGGTTTCGGTCAACCAAATCTATTATGATTTGGATTCGGGTGAAGGCACATCCGGATTTGGCCCTCCAATGTGAACAATTAGGTGACATTCAGAACCATTCAGCCAATAATTCGTCAAGTTGATGGTGTCCAACTTGGCGACCTGGCAGCCAGGCACATGCGCCGACTTGGCGACCTGCGAGACTTGCTCGCCGACAAATTCGACATGCATACTCCACAATCCTTGGAGGTTGGCCCTCGTTCCGGAAGATGGTCAACGTGCATGGCAGTTACCTCCAAGGATCTCAGACTAATTAGACACGATCTCCCAGAGATCTCGGGGGTGGTACGTGATCAAGGCCTATATAAAGGCACCAACCCCAATGACAGACAGGGCGAAAAGTGGGCAAGTAAGCAAGTAAGCAAATTCTAGCTCTCATACTGTGTGATTTTTAGCTCGCAGTCTACTATGAGAGTACTGACTTAAGCATCGGAGCGCCTCGCCGAGTTAGCCACCCCGGGTCCTCTGACATTTGGTTCCTTGCAGGTCTCTAAAGAGCAACGAAGCTCATCAATTCAGCTCGCCACCTGGTCAGCCCGGTGCCTCGCAGGCAGCCTGGCACCTCACAGGTAGCTTGGCACCTCACAAGCAGCCCTGCACCTGGTCAGCCCGGCGCCTCACAGGCAGCTCGCCACCTATTCAGCCTGGCACCTCACAGGCAGCCTTGCACCTCGTCAGCCTGGCACCTCACAGGCAGCCCTGCACCTCGTCAGCCTGGCACCTCACAAGCAACTCGCCACTTGGTCAACCTAGCACCTCATAGGCAGCTCGGCACCTCACAGGCAGCCCTGCACCTGGTCAACCCGGCGCCTCACAGGCAGCTCACCACCTGGTCAACCTGACACCTCATAGGCAGCCCTGCACCTGTTCACGGCAACTCACAGGCAGCTCGCCACCTGGTCAGCCCAGCACCTCACAGGCAGCTCGGCACTATAGTCAGCTCGCCATCTAGCCTGCCCAGCTCGACTCAGCTCGGCAACCAAAGTTCTCCACTTCGGCCTGAGTCATCGGCCACTTGGAAGTAGACCAAATGACGAGGTACTTAGCCAAAAAATTGGCCATCAACAAAAATCGATTCTTCAATTGGCACCGTCTATAGGAAACGCTACAAAAAGCTTTCTCACCCTAGAAAAGGCCAAGTCCTCTTCTTCCAGAAAGCTAAGTCCTCACTTTTTAGAAACTAAAGCTCTCGCTTTATAGTTTCCATTTTTTATGAACTCAAAGACTATGCAGGAAGTTGATAGCTAACAGACTAAGCAGCTCTACCAACTTTATTTCAACTCGGATAAAGCCTCATCAGTCCTCTTCACGAGGTCCCCTCTACAAAGATGAGCTCTTCGTGGCTTCTGCGGGAGTTGGCGGCCAACAGACTATATGGACACCCTTGCTGGTCGAGCCTTCCAGGGCTCCCGTGCGAGCTGGCGACCTAAAGTCGGTAGTGCTACCCCCGTAGGTCGAGCTCCTAGTAGCTTCTTGTAGGAGTGGGTGACTGGCGTCACGAGGCTGATGCAGTGCAACCATAGCACTAAAGTACCGAACTGGCAAAGACCTCGATACCACATAAGACCTAGTCGCCTCTTCGGCATGAGCAAGATCAAGGAGAGTTGACTACGAGTCGCTCCTAGAGCCTAAGGGCCAAAATACCAAACTAGCGAAGACCTCCTCACCACATAAGACCCAGTCGCCTCTTCGGTATGGGCAAAATCAAGGAGCGGACTGCGAGTCGCTCCTAGAGACTAAGGAATTGAATCAATGCTTACAAGCTCATCGGACTATTCATTCCGGGCCAAAAGGAGAAATCTACTCCCTTCATCGAGTTACTTTCAGCTCGGGAGTGGGGGGCAAATGATGAGGGCGGATTTGGTGCTCCAATGACATTGGGACACATGGCACCTCAGAACAACTAGGTGACACCCGGAACCACTCAGGAAACAACTCACCAAGTTGATGGTGTCCAACCTGGCGGCCTGGCAGCCTGGTACATGCGCCGACCTGGCGACCTGCGAGACGTGTTCGTTGACAAATTCGACATGCATACCCCACGATCATTGGAGGTTGGCCCTCGTTCCGAAAGATGGTCAACGTGCATGGCAGTTACCTCCGAGGATCTCGGACCAGTTAGACATGACCTCCCGGAGATCTCGGGGGCGGTACGTGAACAATGCTTATATAAAGGCACCAACCCCAATAGCAAGTAAGCAAGTAAGCTCTCATACAGTGTGATTTTTAGCTCGCAGTCTACTATGAGAGTACTGACTTAAGCATCGGAGCAATCTCGCCGGGTTAGCCACCCCGGGTCCTCTGACATTTGGTTCCTTACAGGTCTCTAAAGAGCAACGAAGCTCATCAATTCAGCTCGCCACCTTGTCATCCCGGCGCCTCACAGGCAGCTCGTCACCTGGTCAGCCTAGCACCTCACAGGCAGCCATGCAACTGGTCAGCTTGGTGCCTCACTGGCAGCTCGCCACCTGGTCAGCTTGGCACCTCATAGGCAGTTCGGCACCTCACAGGTAGCCCTGCACCTGATCAACCCGATGCCTCACAGGCAGCTCACCACCTGGTCAGCCCAGCACCTCACAGGCAGCTCAGCACCTAAGCAGCTCGGCACTATAGTCAACTCGCCATCTATCCTGCCCAACTCGACTTAGCTCGGCAGCCAAAGTTCTCCACTTCGGCCTGAGCCATCGGACACTTGGAAGCAGACCAAATGACGAGATACTTAGCCAAAAAATTGTTGGGTAAACCCATAAAACTTGCAAGAGACTGGGGATGTCAATGAGTTGGGATTTTAAATGGTAAACCTACCTTGACAAATCCTATTGGATTAGATTTGGGACAACCTTGCTCAGGTTTCGGTCAACCAAATCTATTCTGATTTGGATTCGGGTGAAGGCAAACCCATACTGATCCCATAGACCCATTCGCAACACCAAGTCATAGTTTGATTTCCTTTTTATTTTTTTTTTCTAATGTTAATTTGGCAGAGGCGTTGTAATGCACGTACGTTGTTGATACTTTAGTCATAGTCAGCATAGAGGTGTCAATGGATCCGCCCAAACCAAAACCAATTTAGATGAATTAGATAAACCAACAAGACATATTGAATTGGACCAGTTTAATCTTAATGGTCCAGAGTAATTATTGGATTAGATTTGACCTAGCCCATCCATAATGAAGTTATATTAGATTGGGTTGGATTGAGCCAATGTCTGATTCATTAATAGAATATAAGAATATAGGTATCAATGGACCAGGTTTCAGTTAGAATTAATATAAATTAAAACAAATTTGAATGGATTGGATGGTTCATACATTGAATTGAATCGATCCAAAATGATCCATAAGTCCATAATATTCATTAGATTAGATTGAACCTGTTCCATTTGTAATGGATTGATTGGGCCAGATTAGACCAAATCCAGTCCCAATTGACACCCCTATATACATTATGTCTCTCCCTTTTCCTGTTTGAAGATGACATAAAATTATGTTCATAAGCCTAGGTTTGGAAGGAGTACAAATATAAAAATGTAGAGTGCAAAACTATGTACTTTATATTTTTTTGTATGTATTTATACTGTACTTATTTATATTTGTAGTCTTTCCAAACTGAGCCTAAGGTTTCACATTGTAACCTTTGGGTCTGGGGCGATGCAGGCTATGTCCTTCCCATAATTTTCTTCTGTTTTAGAATGATTAATAAAATTTTAAGATGGTCATCCCTCCACCTGAAGTGAAGTTTGGAGTAAAAAAAAAAAAAGTGATAAGCCTTTGTGAAAGACATGCATTACAAGTTTGAAATGTTTACAATAAAACATTCTTGAAATTTCTATATTATAAGTGATATAGTGACAATGAAAAGTTTGTAATTATTTCCTTTATTAAGAATCTTATAATATATATATATATATAAGGGAAATCGGGAAATAAGATTCTTCATTGAAAATTCTCAAGTTACAAGAAACAAACATAAGAAATTTTATATATTTTATCTGCCATCGGTTTTTGGGTCGATAGTTCAATCATTCAGAACAAAAATTATGAGCAAAAAATTACGAAACCGTTCTGACCACCGATTTTTGGGTCGATGGTTTGACCATCCGGTTCGAACGGACAACCTATTTTGACAACAAAAATTATAGGCAAAAAATTGAGTGTGTGAGGTCCATTAAGCAGTATCATACATTTTGTCATTCGAGCGTGTGTCTCATACGACCTGAAAACGGAATCATTTTGGCCACTAGTTTTCGGGTTGACAGTTCGACCGTCCAGTTCGAACGGATGACCCGTTCTGACAACAAAAAATAAAAAAAAATAAAAAATGAACAAAACCATTGAACGGGTCGAAGGTTCGACCGCTCGGGTCAATGGGTCGTTGGCCAATTCAATGGTTTTTGGCTTGGGACTGGGATTGGGGTAAAACGAAATCGGTTGCCTGGACGATTCCCAATTACAAAAATAAAAAAATGGTGGTTCGACCATCCGGTTTGAACGGACGACCCGTTCTGACAACAAAAATTACATACAAAAAATTGAGTGTGTGAGGTCCATTAAGCAGTATCATATGTGTTATGTCATTCGAGCGTGTGACTCATACGACTTGAAAACAGAACCGTTATGGCTACCAGTTTTTGGGTCGATAATTCGACAGTTTCGTTTGAACGGACGACCTGTTTTGACAACAAAAATTAAAAAAATAAAAAAAAAACGGCCAAAAACCATTGAATGAGTCAACGGGTCAACGGTTTAATCACCCAGGTCAATAGGTCGTTGACCAATTCAACGGTTTTTGGTCAGGGATCGGGATTGGGATAAAATAGAATCGGTTGCCTGGATGGTTCCCAATTAAAAAATAAAAATGGCCAAAAACCATTGAACGAGTCGACGGTTCAACTGCCCAGGTCAATGGGTTGTTGACTGATTCAACAGTTTTTTGCCAGGGATCAAGATTGGGGTAAAAAAGAATTGGCTTCCTGGATGGTTCCCGAGCCGAAATGTCCATCCACCCGGGTCAACGGCGGTTCGAAAACCATGATTTTTTATGCTTTGGATTTTCACTATTCAAAGATTTCTTCTACTATGGGCTTTATTCAAATGTGTGTGGTATGCTCTTTATTTTTTCATTTTCTGCTTTTGTTTCTTTTTTTTTTGTTTGGTCTTCTTCTTCAAGATCCTGCAAAACGGTTAGGGTTTACCACTATTTTATTCTTCCCTTGTGTCTTTTTTTTTTTTGTTTTCTTGTACAATGTTTTTTTTTTTCTTACAAGACGATTTGCTTTGTCTCTTTCTTTGATTGCATGTATGTTTAGCTTCTTTTCAAAGCGGAACTTTGGATTCAATTTTCTGGTTTTTTTTTCCTTGGTTGTTCCAGTTTGGTGGATTTATCGCCAATATTTTTTCTGTGTTTAAGATTACTTTGGATTTACCTTTCAAGGTTTTGGAATCCCTTACAATGTCCACCATTCCAGGTCGACGGTTCGACCATCCGATTCAAATGGATGACTCGTTCTGACAACAAAAATTAAAAAATAATTAAAAATAAAAAATGGCTAAAAACCGTTGAACGGGTCAACCGCCCTGATCAACAAGTCGTTGATTAATTCAACAATTTTTTTCCAAGGACCAAGTTTGGGGTAAAACGGAACTGGTTGCCTGGATGGTTCCCGGGCCAAATAATCCTACCGTCCGGGTCAACTGTGAGTTCTCAATGTGAAACAAAAGACAAGTATAAAGTAGAACTCAAAATTATCACTTTATAATTGTGTTCTTTTATATGAGATGCTTTGCTGAACAAGATTTAAAAAACAAACACATGATGTTCTCATTTAAGTCTTTATATAAATTTTAAGATTTAAATACTTATAATTGTAATTTTTTTATTAAAAAATTATTGTCTTTTTTAATATAACAAATAACAATATTATAATTTCAATTTAACCCTTATAAAGCATGGGCACCTCCGCTAATGAAAGTATTGTTCATATATTGAGTTGGATTGAGTCGGAATTAGGTCCTCGGTGCCGTAATGCCGTATGACGGGTTAAGTATTGTTCATTTGTTGGGTTGGGTTCAGTTGGAATTATGTCGTGATGCCGTATGGTGGGGCCACAAAATGCTGGCATATTAGGCCACAAAAGATGTTGCCGATGTGAGGCTAGAGTCTTTTGGCTAAGAAACTTATGATTAGCACTTAGTAAGATTTAAAATTTTACAACATGTCGATCAATATAGGTTAATAAAGGGAGAGCGTCATTGACCTTAATCATAGGGAACGGAGTGAACACATCAAGGGAATAATTGACCTACAAACAAAGGCCTGTACAACGGGGCCAAAAAAACTAATGAAGAGTAAACACACCAATATACGTACAGTGGTTTCGTTGTATTGCCTTTGTTTATAACTCATCTTGTTCCTGGACAGATCCGGTCTCTCCTAAAAGAACCCTTATGTTCAATAAAATGTGTGTGAGGTCCCTGCGAATGGGTGTTGATGAAAGACTGTTGAATTAAATGATGATTTAGATATATCATAATGCACATGAACCAATGATAATGTCTTATGTCAGTAATAGTATTCACATCTTTTATAGTGGAGTCCATAAATTTATTATTGGTGTAAAATACTATCATTAATTTCACAGCCCGCCGTTGAATAGCCATTTCATTCAACATTAGAAATGCCATGTGAGAATCATGTACATGGTTATGGGGTATATCACCCTATGGCTGGCAGGGGACATTATTATTGGTCCCTAACACTGTCATCATATTTAGTTAATTTGAATTTATGAATTTTGATGAACTTTTTATTGGTTAGTGCACTATCCCAACTGATTTCTTTTTCAATTAGTCCAAGATAATACGGGGGAGTATTTTTTTTTTTTTTTGGGGGTAAAATTCTCGATAGGTAATCTTTCAATTTGCGACAATTTGATACCTGTGTTAAATTTCTATCAATTAGAAGATGAAAAAGTCCTAAATACCCTCAGCTATTTCAATTATCTATTAAAATTACGAAAATAACCCATCATCTATTTTGACCAATGCCGGTGGTGTCAAGCCAATGCGCCACCGGAGAAGACGACTTGTTGACGGCTTGGAAAGTTGGTCATTGACGGACTTTCCCAATTTAACTCCTACAATGATAACGAGATATATCTCATTTCTGAATTCGATTCCGAATGCTAGAGCTCAGTTCTGGATGCAACATTTGATTTCACATTCACTTCCAGCTTTGGCTCTGGTAAATTCACCGACCGCACGCTCAAGACCGGCGGAATTGCAGCTATCCAATTGAGCAACGACCCTTCGGATGCTTTCTGGAAGCCCTCAAATTACATTGTCTACATCCGGCGATATGCATCCACAATTGTAGCAATGAAGAAAATTGGCCCCTCCGAACTATCATCTGGGAATTGGCCAAATAAGAAGCGCCTCTGTGCATTCCCTTCAGAAGCCAAGAAGGCGGCATTGGATGGACTCGAGGATGTGCTCCTGGAACCACCGCGAAGAGCTCAAGTGGAGTCAAACAAGTACTTGAAGAGGACCAAATTCCTGTCGGACTTAACAGGGGACTCACTCGAAGGGTACCCATGTCGCGTCTTCATCGATGTTGGCTTGCCGGAGAGAAACGGTGGCAGCCCTGATTGGTTTGAGAGGAATTACCCAACAAGGAATCGGGTTTCGAAATTTACAAGATAGAAAGTGTCCACGGAAGAACCGTCAACCGACACTGCAGTGCCCCAACTGGAGATGTCAGACTGGATGAGAAAGAATGTGAAGGAAGAAAGAGTACGTGGTGATTGAAGGCAGAAGCAGAAGTGGTAGAGGAGTTGTTGAAGAATAAAGCCATATGTTTGGTGGATGAACTGTTCTTGGAGTGCAAACACCGAGGAGTAGGCGGGAGGAAGAAGAAGAGCTGGGGGTATTTAGGACCTTTTCATCTTCTAATTAACGAAAATTTAACTTCGGATATTAAATTGTCGTAAATTGAAAGTTCGGATATTAGATTGTCACAATTTAAAGTACGGGTAATAAATTGACATTCGGCTTACCCATTGAGAATTTCCCCCTTTTTTTTATAGAACCAAAAAAGACCACAAGACGGGAGTAACACATCCCCAGATATCAGCAGCACAAATAGAAAAAAGAGGGGAAGGAAGAGAAGCTAAACTAAGATTAACGGACTCTATTGGAGCAGATAGAGCTTCCTATGCCAGCCAATCAGCGGCCTGGTTTGCTTGCCGATAGATATACCTATACGCCAGACCTCTTTGAAAGTCGTCCTTTAGCTTGATGCAGTTCTTGATGATGTGTCTTATCTTCCAAGGAGTTGGGATCTTCTACTTGAGACAAGAAATGACAAGGTTGGAACCACCTTCAATAATGATAGGATAACCTCTAAAATTCAAAGCCAAATTATGAGTTTCCCATGCCGTCCAAGTTTCTGCAATGTTAATTAAAGCAATGCCAAGTGATGGAGGAAGATTTGACCCGACCCCTCGGCCATGTGACACGTGGAAGCAACCGAGAGTAACCTGGCAGAAACGCCAGCTCTTCACGGCAGCAGGCCCACAACCTGAGCTCTGAACTAAAGAGCCGAACTCCCTCAAAGGAACCCGCAGCCTGAGCTCTGAACTAAAGAGAGTCAAGCTCCCTCAAAGGAACCTACAAACCGAGCTCCGAACTAAGGAGTCCCGAGCTCTCCCTTTGAGGTCCTGAGCCTTGCAAAGAGCACCAAAGGCCGAAAGCCCGAACTACCCACCTAGGGGCAGTTCGGGCCATACTCCTACCCGAACTCAAGATTTCACATTAAAAGACCACTTCGACTCCAAATCGCCTGACTGAGCAACTGTACCTGACGCCCAGGAGACCGTACACGGAGGCGGCGCAACTGACCGATCAGAGGGCTGACACATGACAGCCGCCATCCAACGGCCACCTGCCACCGCCACCCCAGACGGACAGAGGCGGCCCTGGCAACTAGCAGTGGAGGTTATGACACCCGAACTGGTAGTTGACAGAAGGAAGTGACCCGATCTGGCAGAGGCAATGAAGCCCGAACTGGTAGAGGGATGGAAGTGAGCACATAGGGTGATTATAAAAGGCCCCCATCTCACAAAGAAGAGGGTATGTGATTCTTGCATTTTTTGTCTTAGAATTCCCCATTTCCCTTGCTTTCTGAAAGAGCACTAACTTGAGCTTCGGAGTGTTCCAACCGGGTTCCTCCCCAGAAGTCTCCATTTTTTCCTTGTTTCAGGCACCTCCGATCTCGTCAGAAGCGAGGTAACCGGCAGCTAGGACCGACCGGATTGCGCATCATCAATTGGCGCCGTCTGTGGGAAGACTTCAAAAAGCCTCCCCTAACCTTTAACTCTCTCTCTCTCTCTCTCAAGGAAACCCTAGCTCCCATGGCTTCTCCCAGCAAGAGCAGGCACAACCTGAATGCTGTAGGGGAACACCCCCAGTGCCACTGTGTGCATAGGACAGTTCACTGTCCCCCTATCGACGGACGGAATTCCTTGCCTCAACGCGCCAAATATGGTGGCGCCTGTGAATGTTCCCCTTCCTCTCCCTATCGAGACAACCTTTTTCGAACCAACTATTGTCCCTCTGGCGACTAGCCAAAACCAGTTTGATGACTTGATGCAGTGCATGCGGGCAATGCAAGCCCAAATGCAGCAGTTCCAGCAGCATCAGCTCCAGCAGCACCAAGTACTACACCACATCTTTCAGTATCACTATCAGTAGCAGTTCCCCCAACTGCCTCTGAACCAACCACAGCTTCCACCTTGGCACCCCGCTCCGAAGCCGGTTAAGCCCTCACCTCAGGGCGGACGCCTTCACCGAGAAGCCTCCCAACTTCAGAACCCCTCCAAGAGCCAGGCCTCATCCCCTTGCCGGAAGGAAAGACTAATCGCCCCCGCCTCGCAGCTCRCCGGCGGGTCGGGAACCTCGCCAGCCAAGTCAGCACCTCGGCACTCCAAGTCTGAGCTCCCGTCCACACAGAACCGATTCAGCGTCCTAGTGGCAGACTACCAACAGTCCGGGCCCATCGAGCTCGGCAACACCAAGGCCAGCAGCGCCAGTACCAGGCCCTCTAAGCAGCAACGAAGGCGCCAGCGAAGTCGCCGAACTACCACCCGCGTACTGCCCGAGCTCCGAGGTAAAAAAGAGACAAGCTCGAATGAGGTAAAAGCTGCCCCTATTCTCTCAGTCCCTTCCCCCCTCTCATCAGAACTCCTTGCAGTCCCCATGCCCAGAGATTTCAAACTCCCCTCTTTAGACAAGTATGATGGGTCATTCGACCCCAACAACCACGTCGATGCCTTCCAGTCCCAAATGCACCTAGCAAGGGCCACTGAATCATGCATGTGCGTGGCCTTCACTACCACCTTCAGGGGGGTG